CTCTCTCTCTCTCTCTCTCTCTCTCTCTCTCTCTCTCTCTCTCCCAACCCAGACACTGTACCAAAACACGCAATCCTAGTAATCAGCCCTCTAGACTGAATATTACGTGAATAGAATCGCCTAGAGGGGTGCGCACACACAAGATATAAACTCATAAATAGGAGTAGACGAACAATAAACACATAAGCACGTGTGTTGAACTCACACTGTGAAGGTCTTCGTAAAAGACAAGATGCACGTTATGTTTTCCCTCTCGCCAAGAGTCGAGCCAGGAATCGACGTGCTTAAACCATGAGTTGTAGGGGACTGAATGGTGATACACACAAAGAAAAAGAAGAATTAAATAAATAAATAAATTCAGGAATTAGATCTATAGAGTTTTCAATTAATTAAAATGTGTAGAGTTTCTAAAAAAAATCAGATTTATAAATTTGTAGGAGACTGCATGGTGGTTTAGACATATAAAAAGAAAGAAGAAAAAAATAATACATTCAGATGTATAGAGTTTAAAGAAAATAACTCAGATGTATACAATTTTAATGTAGGGACTACATGGTGGTACCCGCAAAGAAAAAAGAAGAATAAGATAAATAAATAAATTCAGATTCTAAGAGGTTTTTAAAAAATTCATTCAGTTTTAAAGAGTTTCTGAAATAAAATCTCAGATTTATAGCGTTGTAGGAGACTGCAAGGTGGGCTTCCGCAAAGAAAAAGAAGAATAAGAGAGATGCATAAATTCAGTTCAGTAGAGGTTTTAAAAAATTATTTTAGATTTACAGTCTTTTAATGATTCAGACTTATATAGTTATAGAGAACTACGCTATTACTTCAGAGAAAAACAATACTTTTTTTTCTTTTTAAAATTTGACTTACAGACTTATAAAGATATACTCAGATTTATCGAGTTTAAAAAATACATTCAGATTTGTAGAGTTGCAGGGCACTGTCCCGTCGTTGAAAAGACAAACAAGAAGTCTTTGAATAAATTCGGATTGATAGTATCAGCAGTGATGACAGTCTCATATATTACATATGTAATAGTAGTAGCAGTAGCAGTAGTAGTAGTAGTAGTAGTAGTAGTAGTAGTAGTAGTAGTAGTAGTAGTAGTAGTAGTAGTAGTAGTAGTAGTAGTAGTAGTAGTAGTAGTAGA